GACAACTTCCATGTCATCTATTCCATAAATAATTTGACACAATTTGTCTTTTCACTATTGTGCCATTGAGTGTAACCTTACTGTCTCCGTTCTGTAGTTCCTTTTGGTGTAATCCTGGAGACCCACCACAAGAGGACTCCATCAGCATATTTGCAAGGGAGGATACCTATTTTCATGTGCAGCAATGTATAGAAGCAGAGCTTTGTTTAACCTCTGCTAATAATAGCTTCTTATTGCACATTTTTTTTTAGTACACCTAATGCATAAGGTTGTGTTCAAAATAATATTAATAGTAATAATAATCATAATAAAAACAAGCTACATAATATCTTAGGTTTCATGCAGCCCTTAAATCCTTTCAGGTAATATTGAGGCAGGATTTTATAGGAAACATTATACTACTAAAATACAGTTCATCTCAGCATACCACTAAAGTAAGAAGTACTACATGTATGTCAAAGCTGACAGAAAAACCTTGTGAGTAGGAGTGTGTGATCGTTCCGACAGAAGCTTTTTATTGTGCACGTAGGCTAAAAAGTAAAGTTTTAAGAATTTCCCAGACTGTTATTTGTAGCTTTTAGAATTTAACCCTAATGTTTCTCCAGCTTAGATTTTGTTAGCCTTTTCTTTATTTAAACTTTATTGTATTTAAATTAGTTATGGTAGGATTTTTTATTAAGATATTTTTCTAATGAATTTATTCTTAAGCATTTGTCCTGATTTGTGCAATAACAGGCCAGTGAAGTACACGGTCAGTATTGCTACCTGATAAATCTTTTGTCTTCAGGACATGGTTAACAGAAGAATTGCAATGGATATGATTCTTAAAGTGGCTGACTCTCAGCATCATCGGCAGTTCATTTTGCTCACTCCACAAAGCATGAGGTAATACTGTTGTGTTGTATTTCCTGGTACAAGGATTACAAGGAAGTTCTATTGCAAGGAGTATACCCTGAAAAAAGTAAACACAAGGAGAAAGCAATTTTGCTGTTTGTAGCAGTAGAACATCAACAATTAAACAGTTCGTTGCTGATGGTTCTAGAAATTTAATAGGTTTTTCACTCTTCCTTATGTAAAGTCTCTTAATATTGTAGTTCAGTGGGACTTGAATCAGTTAATCTTAAGTAAAACAGCTTTTTAAAAAGTTTTACTGTATAAAATAGGCTCCTGATAGGTTTTAGCCCTGTATCTTCCTCTCCCCTCCCAAAATTAACAGAAGGCTTTGCATTTTTCCATTTTTCCTAGTAATACCACAGTACTTTACAGATGTTTGTCATTTGGGTTGATTTTTTTTTTTTAATGTCACTGATCTAGAAACTGATAACTTACTCCTTGTTTTCTTTTTTGTATCTAGTAGCCCAAAATTGTTTAAGAACCTCCATATAAGTCCCTGGTAAAACCATGCCCAGCTTAAGGGGACAATCATTGTCTAACCTTATTCAGCCAGCTCTTCTATTAGCTAAATGGAATCACTGAAGTCTGTGGAGGATAATTAAGCAGCCTTCAAGATGAAGTTGATTTACTCTTAATTGTCTTCCCTTACTAAAAACCTATGAGAAGCAGAATAATGGTATTCTGTTGTTATTTAACTGGAAATGCTTTGTGGAGAATTTCTGAAATTATTTAATAAACATACAGGAATTTTCTGTATGGTTACTGTTTAAAAAGTTTAATAATTCAAAGGGCAGCTTGGTTTTGTTGTATTTCTTACATGTTGCATGTTCAGCAAACATGTAATTTAAAAAAATTACATAGGCACCTTGAGAAAAAATATATTTAGGACAATCTGTGGAGAAGCCTGCATAAGTGTATGTGTAGTAACTCTGCTCATTCTTAGTATGATATGAGTGGTTATACATGTATAAAGTGTGTGCCACTTCAGGATCTGTAAGGCAAATATGAACAGTATTCTATGAATATTTCATTTGGAGTTTCTCTTAAAAGTACTTTTTCTATAATTAAGGTAGTCTAATTGTTAGAAATAACGATTGAAATCAGTCATTGTCTTTACCTCAGGCTTTTTCTGAAGTCTGGCTCCAATATCAGTTTAGTGAAGCCAGAACTTTACCCTATGTTACTGTTTTTCAAAACTGTCAAAGAAAAAAAAGACGGAGTTGTTTAAAGGAAAATACGTAATGGAAAAAAATCAAATGGAAATACTAAAATTTGTGAAGAAGAAACAGTGTTTAAATGATGCATACTTTATTTTTAGTTCTCTGCCTACGAGTTCCCGTATTCGAATCCTGCGAATGCAAGACCCTGAAAGAGGCCAAAGAACATTGAATTTCCAAAATAGGACTGACAGAGAGGATGATCAATAAGTATCTCTGTGTATGAATACAGCATACTATTGAGGATAAATGTGTAATAAGGTCTGCAAAGTTATTACTTCCTGATGCTGGATAAGAGAATCTTTTGTTAGAAACTCTTAGGAATACAAGGGGTTCCTGTAATTTTTTTTTTCGTTTTTTTTAAAAGAATTACTGTATGTGTACAGACCAAGAATAAGCACAGTTTTGATGATGAGAAAATTCTGAATGTTCAGTTGATATTTTTAACTACCAGCTAGTGGAATTTTTTAGCAGTTGTTCTGTTTTTTTTCTTCTGGAAAAGATGAAATATATTTTGTATAACTATGGAGTAATATTTTAATAAACAGTGAGAACTGATACTTGTGGTAATGTTTTAGTGACTCTACACATTTAAAATTAGCATTAAGTTAAAAATGTTGTTCTTCCTAGCTCTGCTTTATTTATTAAACGTGCTAATTAATACATGCATTAAAACGTGTTTCATTTTTTTCCAGTGGAACCACAGCAGCTGAACATGAGAAACTATTAGTACTTATAGAGTATACTTTCATAATTAGAGAAGAATTTATTTGCAGTATATTCTCTGGGTAGGGAAAAAAAGTGATTTTATTTCTTCCTAAAGAGTTTATAGGGAAGAGTTTGAATTTCTTTGGACATGAGCTTACAAAACCTAGCAAATTGTGGTTTTAGTTCATTATATTGTAACAAACTAAAGTGACAGAAGTCCTTCCAATATAGAGGAATGAAGTGGAATAAGAATTTTGAGAAATAATACTGTAACTTTTCTACATTATAGTAGGCCTGCATTTTTTTGGGTGTCCCCTCCCACCCTGCCTTGGGACTATACTAGAGAAGTTGAAATAAAATAAACTTGCTTTATTTAATAATAATATTAATTTAGTAATACAAGCATTTAATGGGGATAAGAGGGAGAAAGAGTAACCAGATTTTTCAAACTGCTCCAAATTAACTTTTTTTCTCCTTTGTTCTCCTTTCTCCAGGAACTTGAAATCGTTGGGAGCTCTTCAAAAACAATCACTTTTTAGACTTCAGCCATTAAACCTTTTTTCCCTTTTTTTTTCCCCCCAGGTTATGTGTATACAAAAGCCATTGACACTATTCAGAGAACAGCTCTGCAGTTTCTACAGTTATTTACCAAATAGCAGTTCCTCAATAAAACCTCATTGCAGTGTAACTTTTAACTGAACTTAGTAACTAAATGTGGTTTTAGCCGCTGTCTTGTGTTTTCGTTAATGTTGTTTAGTTTTAATGCATACAAGCATGTGTTAATCTTGTAGGTATCTCTAAAATATGGAAGGTAGGTAAGAACTGAAGGAAATACACTAAGAAAGCTAGTGCATTCTAACTGTAGGAATTAAGTCTAGAGATCTTTAAAAGGCTTCCCATGTTTACTTCCGAAAGCCCAGGGTAACGGGCCAACAGACTCGCAGCAGGTTTTAGGGTGTTACTGGCCAAACGGAGCTGGGCTTTTTGTTGAAGTGTGTGTCAGAAGAGAGACAGATGGATGTCATAAATTGAAGTGGGGAGGTTCTGGTTGGATAAATGGGGGGAGGGATAGCTCACTGTGAAGATTTGAGGATGTTGTCTTGACAAGCTGTGGAATTGCCATCCTTGGAGGCTTTCAGGGTTTGGATAGACTGCTGCACCCCTTCAAGCAGGGAGTTGGACAAGAGACCTCTGAAGGTTCTTACCAAACTAAACAGTTCCATAATCCTGGGATTTGTTGGAATACATATTAAAGATGCTTACAACTTTAGGATTATGTGGAAAAACTGAGGGGCTGGAGGGAACCATACAAAGTGCATACTTGGCAAAACTTGTCTGGAACACAAGCCCAGTTTGTACTGCGAGTCCTCGATACTGTCACAGGATCATGAACCACATGTTTAGTTTGACTCAATTTTATGATGAAACTACAATGTTTCAGATCCTTTTACAATATGAAATGATAGAGTGATGTAGCATTATTTTCTCCTGATTTTCTTCAGCATCCAAAAAATAAAGCAAGAGTGCAGAGGCAGGAGAGAGAAAAACATTTATCTTCATTAGTCCTTTTATAATGAGTTATGCGGAGAAAAGAGCTTAAGGAAAATTACTGCATTCCTACTGAGCTAACACTTCAGCTTTCTCTCAAGTTTTATATCGACTTGCTTGAAATATTGGGGCAGTTGGAAACAATTCTGGTCTTTGGTTCACATCAATATATTGTATTTATTCTAATCTACGACTGTACTTGATGAAAATATGTGCCTGAATGTAAAATTATTATAAGCAACTGTTTTCATGGTAGAGGATTAGTTCTGAATAAACAATTACTGAAGCACTTGCTTGGATGCACTTAATTTGCAGTGATCCAAAGGTCTCAAAACTACCTTACTCTTGTTGCTTTAAATACAGAGTTTATTATACCAGCTACCTAGTGAGAGAACTGCAGTGCTGATGTTACATTTGGTGATTGTGTTTGAGCTGTTGGCCATTTTGGATGGCAGTGCATTGCTTAATGCTGCATTAAAGTAAACAGAGCCTGTCCAGCTACATAAATTTGAGGTGCAGGGAAATGTAAAATGAGGTACTGCCTCTCTAATAAGTATATGTAAACAAAGAGGCATAAATTCCCAGGAATATTCAACATCTTCTCTACAACTATTGATTTAAGTTGAAGTGGAAACGGCATATAATTCTCAGAAGTATGTAACATTTTCAGAATGTGTGTTTTATTTTTAAGTTACAGGCAAATGTACATAGCATGCCACTCTCTAATTTGCTAAGAATATTACCTGTGTAGTCTGAGTAAAATTCTGGTATTAAAGAATGACCTGGAGAAAAGGAGGCTCAGGGGAGACCTCATCACTATCTACAACTGCTTGAAAAGAGGGTGTAGAGAGGTGGGGGTTGGTCTGTTCACAGTGACAGGATGAGAGGAAATGGCCTCAAGTTGCACCAGGGGCAGTTGAGATTGGATGTGAAGAATTTCTTTATTGAAAGGGTTCTCAGGTATTGGAAGGGGTTGCCCAGGGCAGTGGTGGAGTCACTATCTCTGGAGGTATTTAAGAGTTGCCTAGACATAGTGCTGAGGGACATGGGTTAGTCGGGGATTTGTCAGTGTGAGCTTAATGATTGGACTTGATGATCTTAAAGGTCTTTTCCAATCTAGGTAATTCTGTGATCCTGTGAATGTAGTTGAAATTTCCACCTTTTGCTGTTTGTTTCGAATACAAAGAAAAATATGAGAGGATGGCTGTGGTTGTGATTGTGTTCCCCCACCACCACGTCTGTTAGCAAAATATGTAAAACTCTTTTGTCTCCTCCCCCCCCCACTCCCCCCCCAGTTTTAAGATGAGCTTTGTTTTTTACATTTGAAAATACAGAGAATTATTTGGTTTGTGTCATGTTTTATTGTCTGATTTTTAGCTATTAAGAGTACCATCTCATTTCTTCGAAAGATGAAGAAGAAATACCAAACGTGCAATTGTAAATTTGTGGGTTTGGTTTTGTGGAGGTTTTTTTGTGTGTGTCTTTTTTGTTGTAGTTCGGTTGGTTTTTGTTGTTGTTGTTTATTTTATTTGGGTTTTTTGTTGATTTTTTTTTTTTTTAAAATCCTGTGAGCAACCAACTGTTTAAAGCAACTGGGAAATGTGATGTAGGAAGGATTTTTATCTGCAGTTTCTGCAGACTGCTAGTTCTCGATGCTTTCCCAGGGCTGCACAGAATTGTACTTGCCACAATATGGAGATAGACTTGATTGCACATAGAATTGAGGAGGTTCTCTTCACTATCCCTTCTCACTTGTCACACTTTATGGTTAATTTACCAGTAATGATTTTTGACAACTTGTCTGTTTATATTAAACCCAGGGTAGTTTAGTGTCATATGATAAGAGGAAATACTTTTACTTAAGGAGGGAAAAAGATTTAAAAGACCAGATTTAGGCCAAGCAAATAAACTGTATTTGACTTCCAGCTAGCTTCAAAAGCTACGTGAGCACAGGTCTAGTAGGTACATTGTTAAATCTTGCCATTAGCATCTTAGAGGATAAACAGCTGCTCTGTTGGTAAATACAGGAACTACAACCTTTGGTTTTGTATGACTCTTACTCATGAGTGAGTGTCAAGGAGTATTTATCTTCATGCTTTCATAATGAAATGTCTATTTCCCGGTAGTACAGTGACATAATTAAAGAGACTGAACTTTTTTATATTTTTTTTTTCCTTCTTATTACCATGCTTAAGATATGAAATAAGAATTAGGGGAAAAGGTCAAATGTTATAAATTTATTTTGGGACATATATATTGCAATCTCTGTGGAAGCTTTTGAAAATTCAGGCAAAGATCAATACACTTCCAATAAAACCTTTAAACTTCCAATAAAACAATATTTTAAACATTATATATATATATTTATATATACTTTTAATTATAGGGATCATTTTAGCAGGATTTTCTCTTTTTTTTTTTTTTATACTGCATTCCTCTGACATAGCTCTTTCTGGATTGAAGGGATGCAAATGAGGTAAGAATTAAGGCAAACCTAAAAGGCATGCAAATGAAGTACATTTATATCCACTGACAATACAAGCACATGTGTGGATCAGACTTCAGAGCTGAGGAACTCTTCCCCTCTGTCTGTCCAGTACTACTTTACAGCAGAATGGTGACATGATTTATAATAAACAGTTAACATTACCATGGGAATTCAGTGTCACTAACATTACTCAGTCTAGGAGACACAGAGCTAGCATCAGTAAAACATGAACAATAAATAATATAATTCACTGCAGCACAGGACTGCTGCACAGGCTTCAGAGGAACAGGGTTGTTATGAAATGACATTGCACACGTCACGTTGTGGCAGTTTATTTTTATAATATATATTTTTAAAATTCTTTAGCAAATGACATTCTCATGCACACAAGTGTTTCAAACACAAGAAGCAAGTCCATTTATAGGTAGTCCAAGCAAATTTTTGTGTGTGTGGAAATAGCTGCAAACTGAATGGAACATTAAACTTTTGTGCAGTCTATGACGCGTTGTACACAAGCTCATTTTTGAATGTCACACTGCAGGAGTAATACAATGGAAGGATCACTCTTTGCAGCTTCTTTGAACTCATCCAGTGTGATCTGGTCGTCTTTGTTCTTATCCATCTTACTGAAGATCTTGTCTACCCGTTGCTCAGGCGTCAGACCATCCTCATTCATTTTCATCATTATCACAGTGCCCACCATTTTGTAGATGGCCTTTGGGAAGAAACAAAATAGAAAATTCAACATATGAAATATAACCTGATTTTTTTGCTGTGATCAGATTCTGGGAAGATATTCCAACAATAAAATGATTGCCAGTTTCCCTATTTTTTTTTTCTTTTTTACTCCAGATGTCCATATACTTCAAACAAGGAAGAATGTGTTTTACTTTCTTTAGATGTAGATTTATTTTGGTGGTTGCATTTTTCCATCTTAGAATGAATTTATTTAGCTTTCTGTTTCACAGTGCAAAACTGCTGTAACCTATTCTCTGGATCAACTGTTTATGTGGCTTTTAGTCACTCCATTGAAATATTTCATATAAATTCTAAATAGTCAGTTTGATCAGTGATCACCTTTTAATAGCTGTGTGTACATGTAAGCAAAATCTGGTACTAACTACCGTGGGTAGTAGCTGGCAGATGACAAGGGAGGTAAACTTGATCCTTCCTGTTATCGGCTGTGGTCATCTTAAAGCCCATCTGCAAGAGCTCACTTAAAATAGTGTGGTGTTATCCCTGTAAATTTCTGTAATCATCTAAAGTTAATCTCCAGTAAGGTTTCAGCCACTTGAGCTACAAACCAGTTATTTCATGGGTGTCAAGTGATTTTGAGATGGGCTTTGTAAATCCTTTGCTGTGCTGTTCTTATGGTTAATCCATTCATCGGAAAAAAAAACCCCAACCCTCTGGATATTTAAAAGCTTATATGCACATATGTACTCTCTGCAATTCTCAGAGATTACATCTATTTAAATGTTAATATGCTTGTACCACTTAGGCATGAGTGGTATAGGATGAATGTATGTAATGTATGCTTTAACGATACAGTACAGCCTCTTGTGTGCTTAAAATCTAAATGGTATGTGAACGAGTACTCAAATTTTACTAGTGTGTTTACTACATGTTATTTTTAAGTGTCATATTGATCTCACCTCTATAATTTCCAGCATTTCCACTCTTGTAATTTTACCATCACCATCCAGGTCGTACATGTTGAAAGCCCAGTTCAGCTTTTGCTCAAAACTGCCTCGTGAGGTGATGGACAGTGCACAAATGAACTCTCTGAAGTCGATGGTCCCATCTCCGTTTTTATCAAAGGTTCGGAATGCATGCTGGGCGAACTTTGAAGCATCTCCATATGGAAAGAACTGCAAAATAAAATAATAAATAGACCTGTGGGCAATGCCAGGGACCAAGCTACATACCTGACTGCAAAAAAACACCGGAGTGAGGCATTTATGAAGAGTTGCTGGTGGGCTTTGTGCGAAACTGAATATATGCAATGTCAACTCCCTTAGCAGTTGCAACGTAATGATTTTTAAAAACATGTATGTACAAAAAATCTTTTAGCTTACCACAAACTATATTACAAATATATTTAACACCAATTTAAAGCTGAATTAACTAGATGAACCTTAAAATGAAGTTGGGTGCAAATGGAAGATTGTAATATTCTCTGACTATGAAATACAGCAACCAACGTGCATTTTAAGAGTATGTTTTCTGCCTGGGGATGACCAGCCTTTGACACATTGCAGCCAAGTAGATGTGTGGGCTTGTTACATAACTTCATGTATTAAAAAAAAAAAAAAAAGATAAAAAATCCACACATAACATAAAAAACCAGGAACATATGTTCTCTTCTGCCAACCACCATAATACAAGTACATAAAATGAGAACTGTACAGGCCTGAACAGTACAGGACAATGCTTTTCATGTTTAATATCCATTATCAGTGAACACTGCAAGTGCCTGTAGCTTAACAAAGTATTTTAAATGACCGTAACATGTAAGTTTTCAGCTGATATGTTCTCCCTTAAGAAATGTATGATTTAAGACATTTGAGTCAATGGTTGTTCATTCAAGAAAATATACCTCCTAAGAAAGGGTGTTTTAACCCAGTGCTGAAGTTCCACTGCAGTCAATGGGGGGTTGGAACCAGATGATCTTTAAGGTCCATTCCAACCCAAACCATTCTATGATTCTGTGATACAATTCAGGATTGCAGTGACAGCAGCTACCAGGCCTTGCTGAATTGCTCTTCTAGTACAAACATCAACCTCACTCAAAGCAAACAGAGCTCCCTCCATGGGAAGGCTCTTTGGGCTCACAATCATACTCAGCTGTGTCAGAACAGTTATGTGAATATTACCCAAAACCTGAATGTTATTGGCAGCTTATTGAAAATCCTGCTTGTTGCTTTCTCTTCTTCATGATCTACCTTTTCCCCAACTTCTGTATCAACTGCAGATGTTAACGTAGGTGATATTTAATTTTACACGTGTGTGTATAGATATATGTAGTTCTGCAGATCACTGGTGGGAAGTTAAGAAGTGGCTCTTGTGCCCTGTAGCTTGACCTGGACTCCACTGCTCCCCCCTTCTATTCTTGGGAGCTTGCTGGCTGTTCAAAGCCGAAAAGACAATTAGAATAATCTCTTGCTTCTTAAATCTGTATTGATCACTGCTCGGTGACATACAGGTTACAAAACAAAAGACTTCCAAATTTCACAGTCTTCCAAGTGTTTCAGTGAAGAGCTGGCTATTGCTGAGGTTGCTGCCTGATCAGTATTTCTATGACTGTCACTCCGCAGTCTCTGTAACAGAAAGGCAAGCAGCTGGAGGAAAATGGGATCATCCTTTCCACTGTCCAGAGAAATGAAACACATTCAGGTGCTATTCTCCTATGATCCAAACTGAGAAATGATAGAAATGTACTGGTGGGACCAAAGAACTAAAATGCAATGAAGAAGCTCACCTACAAAAATGGCTAAGAAGTGGAAATACTCAAGAGTCCAAGAACGAAGCAGAGCATTAGGCGGGGTCAGTGGCTGGAGATGCTGAAGAGCATTTCTAAATTATTCTTGGGGGAACACAAATATATTGTTCAGTCTCCCATCAGAGAAGCTTAAGCAAGCTGTGCCTACTGCTTGTGACAGTCAAACCATTAACCTCATGTAGCACAGAGAAAAGCATCCTTGTAATTTTTTCATCACAGCAAGACAACATTTTCTCTTCTGAGGCGAGAAAGGCAGCGGAACTGCTCAGAGCTAAGCCTTGGCATTTACAGCCTAGTAAGGTGCACAAATGGAATTGATGCTTCTTTTTTTCTTTTTTTTTGCCCTTTTTTTTTTCTCCCCCACTTTTTCTCTCTATTTCCCTCCCTCTAGGGAACACATGCAGTAAAAGGTCCCTTGGGGACTGAAGGCACTCTTCTCCAGTCTGTACCTGCTGACTTGTATTATTTTTAGCTCAGAACAACTAAAAAACATTGTCAAAACTTGTTTAAAAAACCTACTTGAAGACTACCATTGGTTTGTTGTGAAATGGTTCATAAATAAGAAATGGAGAAAAAGAATACCAAAACAATTACAGAGCAAAAGAAGCCAGCTCTGGTAAAACATTATTTTATTTCACTATTAAAATACAGTGAGGCCTTAGGAAAGTGTAAAGGCACAGACTGTTAACTGCTTTAAGACTAGTCTGAGCCAAGTGGCAATGGGAGACGGGGATCACTGGAAGACAAACACCCATTTTTGGCAGGGGGGTATGAAGAGGGTGGTTTATTCTGCCTCATATAACACTCTAGCATGAGCTCAGTCAATGCCTCAGAAACAAGGAAAGAAGCACAACAGGGATTTTCAGAGGCTACAACCACTGGGCAAGTCAGTGGGTTCTTCAGCCTCCTCTGCAAACTCTTGTCCGGGTGATCAATCTACATAGGAAAGCAACCAGTTCCCTTCTGCTGCAATGGCACTACTGAGAATTGCACTCTACACACCAGCATTGTCTCCTAGTTTACCCTTTTCATCCAAAAATCAAGACAAACCATACCTGCCTGGGCTTTTTACAGCAGTGAGTTCCACAAGTAACTAAACACTGGTCATGCCTTTTTTTCTGCTTCTCATCTCTTTGCCTACCCTGTGCTTTTTGTGACTGGTTGTATCAATATGCTGGTGTGTGAAGAAAGTGTTATCTCAGACAATTACCAATTAAGAAAGGAAAAACGGATTAAAACCCCAAATCTCTCTTATTCTCCTTCTAAATTTTGTCAGAATGTCTTGCAGGTTCTTAGCTCCTAGCGTGTTTCTAGATGCTTTTTCCATATCTGAGGTGAGGGGTTTATATGGTCCCGGAATAAGAGTATCTAGGAGATAGCATCAACAAATTACACATAACTTAAGTCTTAGGGAAACTGACCAAATATATAGAAATATTTATCTGCTTGGCTGCAGATGCTTCTAGCATCTTTGAAGAGATGCTGCTCACAGACAACTCTGTGACCAACTCTATTCAGATCAATTTTGGGAGGGAGTTACTGAAAAATCATACAGCATATGCTAAAGCATATGGCTAAAACATAAAGAAAAAACAAAACCAAAAGCAATACACTTCCTCAAATTTCCCAGTCATGGGGGAGTCCAGAAAAGAAGGATCTCGCTTTCCTTGGTAGGGTGGGGTGGAGAGACTCTATAGACAGCCTGAGAAGTGCTTTGTTTTTCATGTGATGTTTTATCATGTTTGAGATGAAAAGGGAAATTCTGCTATGAAATCAGTAAAACCAAAATTGAGTAATGTATGGAAAGCTGAACATGCTGCCTACACATACCCTGGTGACAACTTGGTCACTGATGTAAGGTCACAGCTTCCAGCACCGAGGAGAGAGCTCTAGTGCAGAGTGGGAGGTGGGAGAGCAGGACATGATATAGGGCTTCTGTAGCCCCAGCTTGGAGAAGATGAAGGAAGCTACTGCTGATACCCCATGTGGGGCTCAGCACTGCCACGCTCTGCTGAGGGCCGAAGCAGCAAAGAGGGATGAGCAAGGCACAGCCCGTGCAAGTAGCAGCATGAACATCATCAGGGGCCAGCACCTGGAAACAACCCTGGAAGTTGGCTCCCATGGGAAAAACCCTATACAACTGATGCTGTTACACTCTAGGAAGGAGTTACTTACCATATTTATCTATCCTGTTAGGATTTTCTTTCCTTCCT